CAAATTGCTACCATCACAAGTGATACCGTATTTATTAAAGTTTCTATGGTTGTGGTGTAGAATATCTGAAGGTTGGATGGATTCAGATTGAAAGACCTAAGTTTGCTCTGAAAGTACAGCCTCTGGTTTACCTTTTTAACAATATTGTTTACTTGGTTTTGCTATGTAAGTTTGTTGTCGATTGCAAGACCAAGATATTTGTATGGATCCGTGATTTCAATTGTTCCTTGTTCAATTACAAACAAGTGGTGGGTTTGTTGGTTTTTCTCTTCTAAAACTAAAAAATAAATCATTTCCTTTGTTTTTGAGAGGTTCACTTTTAGAAAGTTTGAATTGCACCATTTAAAAAACATACATATTTCTTCGAAATACTCTTTTTCCTCAAGGTTTACTAATCCAATAATAGCGGAGTCATCTGCAAACTTAATTAAACGTGTTGTTTTATATTTACCTCTATGATCATTGGTAAACATTGTATACACAACTGGTGACAAAACACAGCCCTGAGGACCGCCTGTTGCGTCAGATTTTGTGTTGTTCAGCTTCACATATTGTGGTCTGCCTGTCAAAAATTCCAGGACCAATGCTGCGATATGATGACTAACTCTCAAACTCAGAAGTTTTTCAATGACAATTATGCGGTTGAATTGTATTACATGCTGGGGAAAAATCAACAAAAAGTACCCTCGTATACGTTTTAGATGTTTCAAGGTGTTTCAGTAAAGAAAGAGTCACAAAAAACAAGTACAGCATCTTCTACGTTCCTCTCTTGTTTGTATGCAAACTGGAATGGATCTAGATTTCCATGAACACAACCTAGAATATTTGAGAGGATCAATTTTTCAAGGCACTTACGGGCATTGAATTGTGTAGGCTATCGTGAACTGGTCTGAGATCGTGTTATTTTTAGACTGCCTCTATGGGTTTTGTTCGGCTGGTGCACATTGAGATTGTGCCCCCTTATTAATATTAATGAACTAAGAAACTCGGTCAAAATGCCATCTTTGTTTTGGTCGGCCCATAGAGCATTTTCCGAGATAGATTATACCACTGAACATGCTATTTTTCTTTACTTGGGTGAAGCACAATAACTTGATATGGTATTATAGTAGATGTTGTAGAGTTTTGGATGTTGAAATGAACGAATAGGGTCTGGCGAGGAACTTGTACGGAAAACTGATTGGATGGTGGAAGGTAACGGTTCTTTTATTGTCTCTTTGTGGGTGTTGTGCACATTAAAATATTTGGGTGGCAGTGCACGACCGTGCTCTATGGACGAGCCACCCCTGATTTATAATAATATTAACACTGAGAAATAGAATTAAGCTTTCCTACTAAAACTGAAACATGTAAGCTGTGTAAAACATGCCTTTTGAGAAAAAAGTGGCGATTATTTTGTTTTGAAAGAGATTCTACCATCTGCTCTAAAATCCATTCAAATACCTCTTTCGGGTACAGAAACTCTTTCATACATGTATGGGCATAGTTCAGGAAACATCCAAGAATATATTATATAATGTGATAACCAACATTTTAATAATTTCACCCAAAAACATTTTTAGTGGTCACTTCATGGTCACTTCTCCTTAGAATACTTCACAACATGCACAAGATAACAGAAATTAAATACCGCATCATTGCATTATGTGAAAAATCTGTATTTGAATACTACTATAACACTAATTAAAATTATAAGAAGTGCAGGCTGTTAATTACAACCTGAGCAGTCGCTCATCAGTTAAAACAAAATAAATAATTAAGTTGAACAAATATTTTACAAACCATTGTTTTCTCTTATACAAAGAGCAAAGAACCAGCCGACAGATTATACGTGACACCATAGGTAACTCTTCATAAAACCCCATGTTACAGATGTTAAGATAAAAACTTTCTTAATTCCTCATAAGTAAAAGAACTCTGAAGTTCTCTGTGAATTTTAAAGAAGAAAAAAAATTAAGAGGAACAAAATAAGAAGCCAACTACAATGAAATAGTTGGAATTCCGATCTTCATTCCAAAAGTAAATTTTCTGACACAACTGTACTTTTATTCTACCATTGGAAATTGTCAAAATATGTGATGGGGGCTCTGCTTTAATAGCCCGGCAACTAAAATTGAGATCGAACTGAGCAAGAATATTTCAGAGGAAGCCAATGCATTTTATTATAAGAAACAATACTGGTCAATTAAAAAAACAAAGGGGTGACTTACGTAATATTTGTAACTTTCAAACTTCATTAATTTCTAAACCTTCTGTTACCAAATCTCAGGTTATAAAGACGGCTTGTTGAAGCAATACTCATTACCATGTAGCTAAAAATGAACCAAGAAAATACGGGTCTGGGGAGTTAAAAATAAAAAGAACTGCATGAGCAGCAATGGCAAAGAGTGAGGGCAGCAGTTAATGTTAACTAATTAAATATCCCTTCAAAATGAGGAAGTACCTTGTATAACCTACAATGAGGTCAATGTCGTCTCTCTCTCTCTCTCTCTCTCTCTCTCTCTCTCTCTCTCTCTCTCTCTCTCTCTCTCTCTTTCTTTCTTTCTCCCTCTCTCTTTCTTTCTCTCTCTCTCTTCTCTCTCTCTCTCTCTCTCTCTCTCTGTCTCTCTCTGTCTGTCTTTCTCTTTCTCTCTCCTCTCTCTCTTCTCTCTCTCTCTCTTCTCTCTCTCTCTCTCTCTCTCTCTCTCTCTCTCTCTCCCTCTCTCTCTCTCACACACACACACACAAATCAAAGACTGGTGCTATCAACGTCCAGCTTAGTTTCTCGGATGGTGTATATGTTCTGGCTGTCATTTTTCCTTTTACTTGCCCTGGCTTCTTACCCATTGCCTTTGGGATTCTTACAGTCCGTCCATCTGTTGTGGAGTGGACAAGTCCAGTGTCTTTATATTGCTTCAAGAGTTTTGCCAGATGTCTCTTACGTTGCTGATTTGAAAATTGGAACCGTCGGGACTCCAAAATGTTTGAACTCATCGCAAAGGTCAAACTCTCCCAATCCACAAAAGGCTCTCTGCATCTCCCTGTATTGCGCATGGACGAGTGCGTAGACTTTATGCACAAGCTCAACCAGCTTGAGTGATTTCCACAGCGTGGACGTTGAGTTATGATAGTATTGTTCCCATTTGTTTTGGTTTAAATAATTTATTTAGGATCAAGAAGTATCCAAATACGATAATATTCCAATACAGATCAATATTTTATCCACAGAGCGATAGATAGCATTACAAATAACATCATATCATAGAAATTTTGAGGAGGTTTCGGGTGGTTTCGGGAGGTTCCGGTTGTTGTTTTTGGGAGGTTCCGGTATAATCAAGTACTGGCAACAACACCCGTCTTGGCCCTCCTTTCAAGTCCGTGACAATCGTATTGGGAAGAGTTTGATTCAAATTAAAATAACTTTTACAAGTCATTCTTATATCACCCTGCCTTGTTCATCTTACTAAGCAATAGGGAAGTATTAGAAATCCAGGTCCCATTAATGGAAATCATTTAAGGAAAAATAATGGTAATGATAAGTATTTCCTTTATTTCAGAGGGTACGTTCGACGGCACCAAAGAACCAGTCGCTTGCATTCGACCAGAGCCCTACCTCCTGGGCAATCCACAGGGCCTTGAAGACTGCTTAGTGTTGAACGTGTTCATGGGAGAGCTCACGGTGAACCCTGACAAGCCAAAAAAAGTCATAGTGTACATTCACGGAGGGGGTTTTTTCGTGGGCGCAAGTCGAGAATTCATCCCTGGAACCATGGTCACAACCCATGACATCATAGTCGTTGTCATCAACTACAGGCTCGGAGTTCTGGGCTTTTTGAGCACCGAGGATGAAGTCAGCCCTGGCAACTTTGGCATGTGGGATCAGGCGTTGGCTCTGAAGTGGGTCAAGACACACATTGCCTCGTTTGGTGGCGACCCCGATGACATCACTATCACCGGAGAATCGGCTGGAGGAGTCTCAGTTCAGCTATTGTCCATTTCTCCCTATGGGAAGGGTTTATTCGCCAAAGCGTTCCCAGGAAGTGGCGGTGCCTCTATGATTTCGACTCGCATCAGCAAACCGAGGGTAGACGCGTTAGAATGCGCTGTGCATTTCAAATGCTGGGAAGGAAGTACAGAGGATACAATATCAGCCGCCCAGAGCCAAGAGGTTATTGCGTGTCTGAGGAAAGTCCCTGAAGCAGAGTTCGGAAAGTACTTATACTTTGGCATCGACCGCTCCCGATTTTTCCCTCGCGCCGATGGTGACTTCGTTCCGGACTCCCCAAAGCTTCTCTTACAGAACGAACTGTACTTAGACTCAGTCGGTTTTTTTGATAGATCGTACCTCGTTTATCTGAACAACAATGAGAGGGCCCAAATGGCAGCGTTTATTGCCGGGGCTAGATACATCGCAAACATGAACGAAACTGCAACACAAGAGGAAAAAGATCTGGCGTACAAGGATATGCTATCAAAAGGAAGAAACGCGTATCTCCTGTCAGGACTGGACGTAAGCTACTGTGAAAGTCTATTTGAAAAACTGTACGACTGGTATGAAAGAAGAGCAACCTTTGAGGATGCTGTTACTGACATCATGACGGACGGCGGCTTTGTGATTCCAACTTTCGACTTCCTCAAGGCGGCGGCACAGAAAGGCTCGACAAACGTCTCGTTCTTTCTGTTCGACCACTACCCGCATTTCATGAGGAAGCTGACCGACAAAGGGATGGTTCACGGTTTGGATGTTCCATATCTGCTTGACTATGACGTGGATTATCTAGGGAAATTGATGGGTATTCCTCTCAGTGGAAAACTGGATGGCGAAGAGCTGATTGTAAAGAATGAATTCATAGCTTTGACAGTGGAGTTTATGAAAAGCGGGTGAGTAAAGCCATTCGAAACAAAATATTAGTTTCATTTGAAGGTTCACCTTTTTCTTTCTCATTTCTCTTGACAAGTTCAAGGTATATAGAAGCAATACCGCTAACAGCAATAGCAGCAGCAGCAGCAGCAGTGGCAGC